ATTCTGGGAGTTGAAGTCCACTCATCTTAAAGTGGCCAAGTTTGGACAACACTGAACTAAGTGGTTGCTGAGAGTCAACATCCACTTGAAGGCACATAATCAACTTATAAAAGGAAACATGATAACCATCAATTCTGGAACCAAATCCCCAAATTCCTCTTGACTCAAGTTCTCCTAATATGCAGTTTTGTTGTCCGCAAATGGAACTCCTGCCTGTATTTACTTCTTTTTAAAATCATGTTTGACATTACTGGTAGAAGAAAAGAGATTGAGAAATGGGCTGCTCTATTGTTTAAATCAATAAACATGTGAATGCTAACTTATTGATGTGAATCCGAGTTTATCCACAAACAGAAGCAAGCACATCTCTACGGAAGAGCAGCATCTTTCCCCAACCGTTAAGTCCTTGATTTGTAGGTCTACAGCCCACAGAATTCCATAACAGAATTCTGGAGTTTTAATCTAATACATCTGGAGGACACAGTAGCAGAAAGAGGGAATCCAGTTGGGTCAGTTTAAATTACTAATTGATAAGAACAAAATCCTTAAAACTCAAGCAAGGTGAAGGCTAGTCTGGGACACTAATATCAAGATATTTGCTGCTGCAGATCAAAATATATTTTTTCTATGCTCATCCCATCTTTTAGAGATCAGTATACACAGCTGACTTGCCTGCACAGACTTCCAGAAAACTAAGCATATTATCAATATTTCAGATACTCTGTTACTTTATGAATTACATTTAAGCTTTTCTCCAGTAAACATTAATCTTCTGCTTTACCAAGTACTAACATGGATAAAATCCATTCATCCTAAACCAGATTTTAACCATTTATATTGTTAATTTTCTTTGAGACCTAACTTTTCATATTAAATTAATCCTTCGTATAAACAAATCAGAGGCTTTTAGGATATATGTTTGTGTCAAGAGCTTCTAGCTGGATAAGGTATGGATGAAAACACTGCCAAGTGAGACTTTTAAGAGAAGTACCCTCAGTACTTCAGTTTATTCCACTAGGCACCGCCAAATGATATAAGAAATGAAGACTGAAATCTACCTGAGAAAATAGTTTCATGATGCTTTACTTGTCTCCCCAAATATTTATCTGCATGTATTCCATTGCATATTACAAAATATATAGAATCTTATCTGCAATGTTTGAGCACAGACAGTTAAGGTCCCACAAACAACGCATTGATTGTTTTCTAACTATTAGTACATATTCTGCAAGCTCACATCCACATCCACTCACATGCACACAATATACCTCCAGGAAGAAACAGAGAGAGAAGGAGAAAGGGCTCTTCTTCCCCATTGGCCCAATGGGTGAAAGACTTTGGAGATTCCAAATAGCTTTTTGTGAGAGAATCTCATCTTTTCCAAAAGTATACTAAACTAGGATCGCAGTATCTGTGATGATTCCCACAGGTTTTGACACTTTATTGTTCCCTCATTCCTTTTCTTCCTATTGAAATGTGTCAGTTCCTTTCTCAAGGAAATGCAGGTTTGTTTATTAGTACCAGCCATGCAATCTTGACAGATGTTTGCTTGAGCCTGTTTCCATTGATCAGCTCTAAATGATGCCAGTTGATGGCTTAGTCTGTATTCTTCAGCTCTCTTATCTTGTTCTTCCCCTTTTCCCCTTTTCTGGTCAATTAGTAATAGAAGGATGTATAAGAGCATAGTAGGATTCAGAGAGAATGTAACAGAATGATACATATAGAGAAGAGATTAGAGAATGAAGATATGCACTTCATATCAAAAGCTAAGGAATGTGATGAGTTCTGTTTCTCAACAGTGGAAAGTGACTTTACCCAATTCCTGATAGATAAGTGTGATACCCCGCTTAAAACATCAGAGCTAATTTTATGTCTCATTTTGCTTCTCCTTGCAGGACTCTGGAAACTGTACAGCTGACATTGATATTAACGAGTCACAACAGTTTTCCTCCATTTCGCAGAATTGCAAAATTATCCCAGGTAAGTAAATTTTAAGAGTTAGCATTGAAAATCATCATTTTTCTATCCTGTTCCTCAAGTTGAATAGAAATCCAACCCAATGGGAAGGCACCAAGTTCCAGAAAGTTGGTGATGATAATGGAGAAAAAAATAATCAGTGGCTAAATGAAAGATCTATACCAATACTTGTAAGAAAAAAATCAGGAAAAGGTGATACCAGAGCACCTCAAGCTTCATTTTCCATTGTGTGAATTCAGTACATCATGGGCCAGACTAGATTTAAGAAGTGAATCGCTCAGTAGCCAAATAAGGAGTTGCATATTGTTGAATGACATCAACAGAATGTGGAGAAAAAAAATGTTTGGTCTTTTTGAATTTTAGAGAAAGGTTGAGGCTGAATGGTGAACTTAAGCCTTAACTTTTAAATCATAAGATATTCATTTTGCCCCTTAAAAGTCCCATGGGAAAAATCAGCCCAATTCTGAGTGATGAAGGGTTTTAGAGAGTGCCATGAATGCCTTGCACCTCGATGCCTTCCTCCATCTCACATCTTAATTCACACCAATCCCCCAAAACGAGACAAAAAAAATGGGCTAGTTCAGGTTGCTCTAGACATTATTTTCCAAACACACACACTTGTTTATCAGAGATAAACTTTTTCCCAAAAAACTTTGACTGAGACAGGCGAAAACAAAAGGAGACGTGTGAAAGACAAAAGGAAGCATGATCTCCAGCCACAACCCCCTCACTTTCCACACACACACAAAATCTGCTTTCTGATGGGTAGATCAACTTTGTGGAACATTGTATTTGGGCTTCAATAAGGTCACTATTCTGCTGACCAAACAGAAAAAGCAAGGAATAGCTGCGTAAGAAAGCTCTGTAGTCGCTTTGGCAGCCACGGCACATATGAGCATAAAGACTTACAATTCTCCAGCCAGACAGGAGGTGGTCTTTGCGGTGGACCAATAGGAGCTCAGGAGGAACCTCCAAAGGCTCCTCCTCCATGAGACCTAGAATGTCCACATGGAGGTCTTCTGCTTTCCCACGGAAAATAACATTTTCTTGCCAGATCACCTTGGACCGGTTTCAGCCTCTTCCAGCTGAGGGTTGGCAGCAAGAAGGAAGCTCTGTTATGAGGACACATCTTCAGTGGCCAGTATGGGGGTGGGTCAAGGAGGTTACGTGGAGGAGCCTGTAATCCCCAACCAAATATAAATCTGGGCTGATTATGGTCATCTTCAGGGATGATCCAAGATCTATTACATAGCTTAATGAAACTGCACCCTGCCCCACTTTCCAAGCTTCCATTTGACATTTCTCCTAGAGCTATAAGAATTAAATAAAGTGAAATTTATTTAAGATATTTAATGATAGCCCACCTTTCAGTAAAACATACAGGGCAGCTGTGTGTTAAAAGAGAAAAACAGCTAAACAGGAACATCTGCTAGTGACACCAAACACACCAAAGGAATTTCACACTATTTCACACTCACTTTTAATAGTATTTGTAATATAGAAAAATAGAGAAGAGATGGCAATGCAATTCTCACAAGCTCAGTGCAAAAAGTTTAACATCTATCAGATCCAAGGATTTGTAATATATGGTGGTGAATTCAGACACATAAATGAAGAGTAGTCCTGCTCCAGCAAGCCCTGTGCAAATGTATGCGCAAATGCATCCCAGATTATTAAGAGGCACGACTGAACTAAGCTTTTTAAAATAAAAAAGGCAGGTATTTAATCTACCAGCAAGCCTTTCTTGGTTTCAGACATGTTCACAAGGTAATGGTGACATCTAGTTGTCAGCAGCATTAAGTGGCCAGGATATTGCTATACCTTGTTTTCAAAATTAAAATTCAAAACAAGAAACACACCTCTGGTTCATATGCCTACAAAAAGTTCCTCTTTGCACTTGGAAAAGAAGACAAAACTATGAACAACTTCTCCATCCGTCCTTTCCAACTCTATTAGAGATTTAATCAGCTATTAAATCTACAGCATGATACATGGTTTCCCTGAATTTGAACAAGTCCAGGTTTTAGCCCAGATGTAGTATGTAGAAAAAAGTAAATTTTTCAGCAACATTTATAGTGTAGCAGATCATAAATAAGATGAACATGCCTAGGTGCAAAGAATCTCTGCACAACCTATGCAGTTGTCTGGTTTCTGGAGTTTCCTTCTCCAGCCTATAAACAGCTTTGTGAGGCCCACTGTCTGCTTCTCATCTGGTCTCCAGTTTATTCTCTCCATTCCCAAATGCTAGTCGTCTTCCACTTCATTCCATCCCTATATGTTGCAACCACAACTCCCAGAATTCACAACCAGAAGAATGCTGGCTAGGAATTCTGAGAGTTATAGTCCTAACAGACTTAGGGGTCACCAGGAGGGTATGGTTGGAGTAGGCTGCTGTGCGGACATTTTCTCAAGCCAGACTATAAGAGCCCAAATGTATGTATCGTTGGAAGGCTGCGATAGATCTCTCTTCTTTTTATACATATGTACAAACTACCATATGTGCAAAGGTTAGATGTAATAAATCCTAAAAATTTGAAGGGGGAAGGTATAATTTTTTTGCCTACCGTAATTTCTCTAAAATGAATTGCCCCACATTGCTTGTCATCTCCCAAATTACCTGTAAGCCTTACCTATTTGTGTACTGGGCACTGCAGTAATTTCCATGTTACTTCCATTTTTCATTTGTTTACTTTTGTTTTCCTTTTGGTAATTTATTATTTGCTTGCTTTCAGGCCAGGAGAACGTTGTGCAATCCCATGCTAAATGCCTGGGTTGCTGGCATCCCATAGACTCTAAGAGTTTGGAACTGCTTCCTATTGTGACTTACACTATACAGCAATTTAACAATCAGAGTAAACACTCTGCCTTATTTAAAGTTGGAGAAATGATAAAAGCTTACCGTCAGGTTTGTATATGTTCTAATAATTCCCCATCTGAACTTTACAGAATTAGGTGATTTGGATAGATTTATAATTAAATCTGAAAAAGTTGAATGAGAGAATGCCCCCCTCCCCAATGGGGGGGGGACTTCCTCCTTTTTCTTCCTGTGTATATTTCTGAAACCATCATATTTTGATAGGCCTGTTTTTTTTTTAAAAAAAAAGATTTTTAAAATATTTTTAAAAAAAATATGTTGGCAAACCAGACAAAATACAAATACAGTGGTACCTCGGGTCACGAACTTAATTCATTCCACGACTCTGGTCGTG